GAATGTTGACGTCCGCCATGTGAGGACCGGAGCTCAATTGCGACGTCGTTTGAGTAAATAGCATCGGCACGACCGTCAAGAACAGCAGAAAAATGGAGGCGGACATTTTTTCCATGTGAAAATGGTGAAGAAGGAAAGACCATCAAGAAAATCGAAAATTAGGGGTTACAGATGGAGATTTCGAGAAGAAAAAAGGGAACACACGAGAACTGGGGTTTTGTAAAGGGTTTTCAGGATGGTGCATGTTTGGATTGGACCCTTAATTTGATATATATGTAAAAGTTACTTTATTCCTGAAAAAGTTTATTTTATTTACTCTTTTACCCACTTTATTTAGATTTAAAAAAAGAAAAAGTATTTACTTTTTCAAATCACATTTTAATTTAATTAATGTTAAATAATCATTATTAATCATATAGTTTATGCAACTTTTTAATTATACATTTCAATTTTTTTTATAAAATTTATTAAAAATTTAATTTTAATCATCACCGAATAGGAACTTAATAAATAAGGTAATATGTTCAAACTACATATTAATTTACTTTTTCTTTACTCTTCATTGTTACAAGTAAATTACTTGTGATCTCAGGAAAAAATATTACTTAGGTGTGTTTAATTGCATTTATTTTTCATGAAAAATTTTAATTTTTTACTTAAATTCCTATTTTGAAGTATTTGATTGCTATTTTTCTATGAAAAATGTTTTCTTTGGGAGAGTATGATTTTTTTTTTCCTCAGGAAAATATTTTATTTTTTAGGATATATTTTTTATATCAATCAAAAACATTCTTATTTTTAATTGTGGAAATAGAATAATCATAGAAATTTTTTTTTATATTAAAACTACTTATTTAATTGTAAGCTTAACCAAACATGGTACATGGAGTACGCGTGTCTCTGTTTTAATTGGGTCAGGTACTGTATTGTTGGAAGGAGTGATTCCCGGTGCCCGTTCATTTCCTTTTGACTTTGTTCTTTTTCTTTTTGCAATTATCTAATAATTTGTGAGATATGGTTTTTTAACGGGAGATTATTCAATTTGGCCTAGTTGATTAAACCTTTTAAATTTTTCATCGAAATGTCTATTTTACCCTTAATGAAATAAATTCCTAAAAATTGCATGGTATATCCTTTTTCTTCTGAGATAGTTAAAAATTTTGGTTTTAAATTTTATTTCTACTATTTCGAATTATAATATATAGATTCATTCTATGATTTAATAAGTTGGAATAATCTGTAATATACTTATCGTTTTCTTTTCTAAGATTATCATATTCTTCAGATAATATATCTATATCTCTTTGTAATAAATCATTATCATTAATTTTTCTTAACATTCTTTCTAAAATTTTATCTAATCTTTCAACTATATATCCTGACATCTTTGAATATCAGACTATGAACAACATCATAATAAAACATTATAACAATTAATCCATGCGATTCTTTAAAATTTTAAAAGAGTTCTTTCTAAATTTAGCAGTAAATAATTAGTTCTACTTTAGTTTTGGTCTGGATTTATAACCTCAAAATCAAGTGGCCTTCGAGCTATGGATGTACAAACCACTCCTTCTACAGCTTCCTGCCTTCATGGGATCATTGATATTCCAACTTCTTCCTCTCAATGTATTGTTTCTAAGAATTAAATCTTTAAACTTTTGTTAAAGAAAAACTTTGTTTATTGTTAAAGTAAAAAAGAATTTCTCTATCAGATTCTTCAAGAATCTATGGGAATAAAATTTAGAAACTCATATTCCTTTGAGAGGATTGGAATGTGAATGATCTATTCCAAATTGATAGAATTGATATATTTGAAAAATTGATACAAGATTTAGTAGAATTTTTTTGACTTTCTCACAAATTGAGTGCTCCCAATCGTTCTGCCTTACATCTAGCCCAGAGGCCTCTAATTATACATCTAATTGAGGCAAAAATTATTGGCCTCTTA